ACAATTCAGAATGTCACGTCACTAACAGAGTACTGAGCAGTGACCCCCGTGGTGGGTTTAGTCCACAGACATTTCCTGCACGCCAGCCAGGCGTCAGCCAGCCAGGTGGGGTGTCAGGTGCTAAGATGAGAAGGGCTGTGGAGCAAGAGAATGCTGCGATCTCAAAATGGGCACACCTGCAAGATGTCCCAGGAAATGGAGGACCCAGGGGAACAGGCTATAGCCAGATTGTCAGAGCGGTGCAGGAAGAGGCAGTGGGGTGCGCTGTCCTGTAGAAAGGCCACGCTCATGGTCAGGACACAGGGCAGGACAGGGACGGAAGGCAGTTGACCTACATGACAGAGTGTGTCTTGTTTTGTCAGCTTATAGTGACAAGAAACCACATATCATACCGGACGTAACTGAAGAACCACAGCAGCACAGGAACAAATATCTTGGAAAAGAAGATGTAAAAAGAACCAAAAAGCCAAATGCACTGCCATTGTGTCGACTGGGATTCACAGTGTCCTGTACGGGTTCCCGAGACTTCATAGGACCACACAGCTCAACTTTCTACTGGGGAGCCACTGTAAGTTTGACCCACTGACCTTGAAGTTAGCAGACCAGTGCTTATCCTACAGATCCACAGGGCTGCTGTGTGGGAGATAGTCCCAAGTGATCTCTAGCATGACACGAAACTACAGTGGAGGACGGTCCTGTGTGGGACCCAGGACGACACAAGACTCCTTAGAGGAAGAAGGTCTTTCAGGCAGCGCCACACTGGAATGAAGAGATGAAGGCTTCGGGGACACTCTTCAGGTCCCTCTCTGGGGTCCTGGGGGTCTGGCAGACGCTGAAGCCTGTGACCGATGCCTACCACCACCCTCAACTCCCAGCTCAGGAGAACTGTTCATGGTGGGGTCGATATTTAACCGCATCGGCAGCTCCTCAGAAACCCTATGCAGCGTTGCTATGATTTGGAACTAACTCTGTGGCACGTAACAACAATATCACCATTTGCATAAGGTTGCCAACGAAAAACCAACAACTTTAACAAAGGAAATCTGAGATAAAGAGGAACAAAATACGGCAAAGGAGAAGGTCCGCTTCAAGACAACACACACTGTTGTTGTTTTCTAATGAGCTTTAGTCATATCTCATAATTTTGAGACGCCTGCTCTACAAGATCCTCATTTATTTTTGGAGTGTGCTGATTAATATCCTTCAGGAGATCCTAAAATGGGTCAAAAGCATTAGTGAGTCACTTGAGATTTTCCACATTGGTGGTGACGTTCAGGACACCTTTTAGTCAAACTACATACTCGTATATTCGAAAACCAATCTCCTACCAGGAAACGTCACAGTCAAACAAAAACCCAGTCTACAGACAGGTTCTTGTCTTCACAGTTGGGCTGGGAGGGAGTTTAGATGAAAGGAAAACAAAGTTAGTTTGCAAACTGTATTTAGTACCCAACGCCTTTTTTTTTCATGGGATGAGAAATTTAAAAATTTCTACCCAGACAAGTTAAATAGCTAAAAGTATTAATTCTTGCAAAACAGAAAAATGAGGGAACTGCAAAAGCTCATGAAAAACAGAAATGAAAAATCATGGAATTTTCCCGGAAATCTGAGTAGCCTCCTTGCAGTCACAGCTCACACTTGGTCACGTGCTATTTCACTGGGGGGCGCTCAACAACCCCCTTCCTTCACCCCTAACACCACTTTCTGATAAAAACACTGCAGACAGGTGAGAGAATGAAGAGGCCAGCCACAGCCAGGGAGGAAACGTTCACCAAACATACAACCTGACAGAGGACGGCAACTCAGGCTACGTGAAGCACACCTACAACCTGAGGACACAAAGATGTGAAGAGCCCTTTGGCAAAAGTAGGTAGACCCATGCCAAGGACCCACAATGCAACTGCAGCTACGGCGGAAGACAAGAGCCCAGCGTGGGGTAGAACGTGGAGCATCTCTAACTCTCACACACTACTAGGAGAACAAGTATAGGCGTGTTCTCATAAAACCAGAGAGGCAGCTCGCCAGTGACCCAGCCATCCCATATCTACTTATTCACCCATGGGAAACCACACCCACACCCACCACAGCCATTCCAGTCACAGTGCTTAAAAAAAAGGAACTAGCCCAGGTGCCTGTCAATGGGAGAACCTGATAAATTCAGACAACAGAATACTTCTGAGCAGTAAAGAAACTGCTGATTATCTGAAAAACAAAATGCAAAGGAAAGAAGCCTTCATTGAAAGGACCCAGGTGGGATGAGCCCATTGAAGACAAGTTTTACAACAACCAAGAGCAAACACCGTGGGAAACATTAAAGCATGGGAGCAAAGACAGCTGGAAAGGGCGATGAGGAAGCATTTTGGGGGTGATACTCTTTTATTTTTATTCATACAGAAGTTTGGGCTGTTCGGGGTAGCCCCTTAAAACGGACTGATTTTACTGTTGAATGATAATGCACGGAAGAGATTGCAATCATTGCAAAGAACCAATGAATGTAAAACCGATGTTCTCCCATGTAAACTATCACTCAATCCACAATAAGAACTTTTTAAAAAGGACTGATTTTGCACAAAATTCAGGGAAATATATACATAGATATACATGTTTGTACACATTCTTCTGTTTATATCACATATTACGGATTCCACTGAGCATCAGTAAGCACCATGGCTCTCCGAGGCCCCATCTAGTGATCTCTCATCTCCAGATGCAGTTACACAGTTTCCAGCTGTTCTCAGCTAAGTCTACTTTGACTAACTGAGTTCCACAGGCTGCAGCAGGAGATGCCTTGCTGGCCAAAGGCGTAGCCTCGGATACGTCCATCCTATCGTGAGAAAAGGAAAGGAGAAAAACTAGGGCAGCCCAGCAACAGCGTGAAAGGCACTAGAACGTTATTGAGCTTCAGGTTAGCCTAGAAACTATAAAAAGGAGTTAACTGCAAGCTATTTAAGACTGCGTTGTCCATTCTGGAAATCAAGGCCACAAAAGAAGTCATTTAATTCCTCCGTGAGTGGATTTTCCAAAGGAATTGTGCCAATACTGCTACAGACCTCATACAAGAGAGAAAAGTTCTATGTTTGTTATTTAAATTCCCATAAGAGAGGAATTACTCCAACACCACCCTCACTGGGTTGCTAAGGGATGAGAGGGAAGAACAGATGTAGCCGGGAAACCTTTGCCCCCCCGATGCAGAGGCCTTCAACAATCTCAGCAATCGGAGATACGGAACACTTTCTCTCTCCACTGTGCCAGACTCCTTCTCTCTCAATGTTTCACAGGTCTCCTACCTAACACCTTGTACCTCACAGGCAAGCAGCAGCCTTCCTCAGGTTCCTGCTCTCAGAGTGTGGAGCTTCTGAGCAGAACACCCATCCTGATCTTACACGGGAACACCACAGCAGGCCTTTGCAGCCCCTCCTTCTGAATGGAACCTGCCATTTCTCTTTCCTGGAATTCAAGTAATGTGCCTCAGCCTCCATAGTTTCATGCCCTTTTTGGTTCCTTCTCTGAGTCCTGCCAAATCCATTCACCTAAATCAGGGACAGGGAACCTTGTTACTGCCAACATTTGTAACATCATTCACAGTCCATATAAAATTATCAAGTTAAAAACATTTCACTCACACCTTAATGTGATACCTGGACTCCTGGTGCGGTGAGGCAGAATCAGCAGTGGACTGCCAACTACGAGGTCAGCAGTTCAAGCTCACCAGCTGCTCCTTGGAAATCCTATACAGGGTCGCTATAAGTCAGAATCAACTCAGCGGCACTTAACAACAACAAAGTGATGGCTAGAATTGTGGTTGCCTTAGCAAAGCCAGACCAAATGATTTCAAGGGCCTCATACAGCCCACGGGCTGGATGTTCCCCACCCCTGACCTAAATGATGCTTCCTATCAAACTCTTAGGACTTCACATCTTTTTCATCTCTTGCCTGAGTTGCTGAACTTTGCTGCAATCTCTGAAACCATCCATCCCCTTACTGGCATCAGGCTGTTCCTACAAACCCCATTTCTGCCTAAGACGTTCACTCATTAAATTCTTTAAGTGGCTCCCAATGATTTATAGGACAAAACCCTAAAGCCTTTCTTTCTGAGACGTGGCCACTACCTTTTCCACCTGTTTCTTCTCGAACCTTCTTAGCACAGATTAAAACGCACCATGCCTTCTTTCTTTGCTCCATGCTCTTGTCTTCACCAAAACCTCCTCTCCTCTTGCCTACCAAAGGCGGCTCAGCTGGAATGAAACGTGGTTCCAGACCAATGTGAGGTCAGCAGACCCTTCAGTGCACGCATGCACACAGGTATGCTCAGATGGCTTGTGATTACCAACGGCACAGGGCTGAACACAAGCCATCGCCTACACAGGAAGGCATCCAAGATGTGGATTATGTCACTAACTTCTGCTTCCCTGGCCCAGAGCAGAGATTTAATGAATGTTTTTATCACGGCCCAAAAAAAAAAAAAAAAAATCACCAAGCATGTTTAATGGTAAAATTACTTGTACAAATGTCTTTGACAATCACAGTCATGTGTTTTGGGTATTCTTCATTAATTCTAATGAGTATCATTTATTTGGCCGTAAAACTGTGTGTTGATTCCTGTGCCACCTAAATTAACTGCCTACACTAATACCTTAAGGGACAAAAAGTGAACTCTTCTTAGCATGAAAAGTTCAATGTGCTCTACTATGTCAATTTCTACCCAGGTTGTACAACCGAGCCCACCTATGACAATGTGCTGCTAGTCAAGCAGGATCGCTCCACCCAAAGCTGAATTAGTGAAAATAGTGATGTGTCCCTTAGGTCTTACTGTCTCCACATGAAGTTCGAGTAGCTTCTGAGATTTGCCCAAGCATACAATAGTTAACAAAGCATCAACAGTTCAGGTATCTGTTCTCTCAAATATCAGGTTGAATGAATTTCTAATTCTAAAATCAACACATGTATGCAAGAGCATTCAAAGACACAATACAGCGGTGTATTAAAGTCCCCTCCTATACCTGTTGATAGAAGAAATTCAGGGTTGGCTTATCTTCAGTAAACTGGTTTAGAAATCCTTTTGGCAAATAACGAATTCTCAATTCATATCTAAAAAATAATTCACAAAACAGAACAATTAGAAATCAGTGATTTTTTTTTTTCAATTCATCATCTGCAATTACAATATTGTCAATTACTCTGAAATATGACTGGAAAATTACTCAAAATAAAATCCATTGCGTTTTAAACGGAAGCTTGTCATTTTGCAGTACAAAACGGTGCAACGTTTTTCACAGCTTGTGATTCTAACATGACAACAGGAGGCCCAGAAGTCATCCAGCTCCCAGTCACCCCCTACCTCTGCCACCCGGGTTTCTAACTCAGGACCCGTGAAACTGCACAGCACGTACTTTTGAACTCTACACGTGGCACTGCCCTGTGCTTCTCTGTCCGTGCTCCTCACTGCCCAATGGAAGCAGCACAC